TATATCATGTTGCCATTCAGTACACTGAGTTTTATTAGCATATATTGATTTAACATAAATACCTTGTGCATGTGTATATTTATTGCACCTGTATGTTCTATTCAATGTTCTTTTCATATGAAATACCATGGTTATAATTATTCATAAGTGTGCAGTATCATAACTACATGTCTGACTTTTGTTTAACAAACCAAACAATTAGACAATTCAGGAAGTTATGGTTATTTAAGTACATGCGCCTTTAAAACACAATGTTACGAATGAGCGAGCTGCCTGTGGCAAGATGGCCGCCACGTGTGGACGTCGACCCCCATTGGCCAGCAGCGCGGACGAGACATCTAGCCTTTATTATGGATATCTATGAGTGCAACAGTCCGGGCGAGATCGAAATGAGCAAGAAAACTCATAATGAAGAGAGACTAGTCTAAGCCTTGGATGGGGGTTTCCAGTTTATTTAGGTGTGGTCTGCTGCAACTTTAGATGTGTCCTTGTTACAACATGCTGAATCAAGTAATTAGGGGACTCTAGACACAGCGCTGCATGTCCTGAACCCGTAATCATCAAAGACCCCTCACACCCCCACCATGGACTATTCTCCCTGCTGCAGGAAGAGGCTTTACAGCATTCAATGCAGGTCCAGCAGGTTCTGAAACAGCTTCTCCCCCACCGCCATCAGACAGCTGAACTGTTGGGAAAACTCTAAATCAAGTCACAGACTCTGCATCACAGTGACCAAAAACTGCAAATTTGCACCATATGTATTTAATGCCCTTAACTCAATGCATTTTTGCACCACATTTTCCACTGTTTACATTTGATCACTGCTGCACATTATAAATGGTAAATGGCCTGTACTTATATACTTTTACTTTGACCAAAGCGCTTTACACTACATTCAATCATTCACCCATTCACGCACACATTGATGGTGGGAAGCTACATGGTAGCCACAGCTGCCCTGGGGCTCACTGACAGAAGCAAGGCCCTCTGACCACCATCAGTAGACAATGCAGGTGAAGTGTCTTGCCCAAGGACACAACGACACTGAAAGTCGGAGCCGGGGCTTGAACCGTCAATCCTTCGATTTCAGGGTGAACTCCTACATCCGACGCCTCTGTTGCAGTATAGAATGGAAATGTTCTGAAAGCTGTACAAAACGACATTTCTTTGTCCAAAAGAAAGTTGTCTAAGTCTAGAGAAATTAACATACTGAGGAGGTAATTTAAAATTAAAAGTTGGACCAAGGAGGAATCTAGAAATTCCAACTGAAACTTTTGAACCTGGTCAAGGATGTTGTTATGGAAACACGCTTGTTTAGTTGTCCTCGGTGGAAAACCATACACTGTAGATTATGTATTGGACCAAGATGATATAAATATATATAGCCAATATATTTAACTTCTCAGATTTACGATCAGCACAGATCGGGATCACCTCACCCTCTCCATACACAGTACAGTTAGTATGACACGGAGAAAAAAAACATATTGGATATTAAAAAGTCTGACCCAACCGGTGTGACGAATGGCTTTCGGAGTGAATCCGATCGGACGCTGCAACATCACAGTCACCGTCAACACACCAATAAAGCCGCCAACAGCTGAGTGAGAATTGAAAATGAACAGTTTTTGGCTAAATCAAAATTGGGATCTTGCTGTTATTAAGACGGTATGTAGTGAATAACAATGGGCTGCGAATTCAATAAAAGCCTTCATTAACCTCAACAGAAAAACTTTCCCAAGACTGATTTCCAAGACGCGTCTCTCTGAAGCTGTTAAGGAAATAATCATTTATATGACTGTATATTTACAAAACCTCCATATAAATGTATAAAATCACAAAAACACCCCTCCAAAACACCTTGGGCATTAGTTTCTTGCAGCCTAACCACCACATATTGCTATGCTCCATGTGTGACCTGTCAAAGAAGGCTCCAATACTTTCTAAGGAAATAAAAATCTTGCTATTTAACACTACCTACGATTGGGGGAAAAAACAGGCAGCCATGTGAAGTAAACTAGAAGAGAACCACTCATCATTAATAAATTGTTTCCAGCCATGCAAGTTAAGCAATAATAAAGTCAACCTAATAACCAGCTTGTTTTACTTTAGCAGGAGACGAACGGTAAGAATTTGCAACATCACCATTTAAAGACTACTACCAAATGTCAATGCCCTTTATATTCGCTATACTCTACATATAAGATTCAAAATAAAATAAAACGTTAATGATAATAAATGTTATTTCTTTTAGTGTAGCTATTTGAATCAGCTTTTGAAAATACATGAGACTGAGGAAGAGAGCTTTATACACCAAGCTCCCTCTTAAATGGTAGGTTTATTGTTAACACTGTTAGCTGAAATGCTGATTAAGAGTTTAAGTCGGGCTTAGTCATCTTTTCCACTTTACTGACAGAAACCAAATAATCTATCCCAATGATGAGAATTTTGGACCAAGTTTGACTAGCATCTCTACTTTCAGTTTCAGGTATGTATAAGGCCTTTTATACGTACCAACACAAAGTAATTAATAATTACACATCTAGTCTTTGCAGCGAAGCTATAGTATAAAAAAATACATTAACATTAAAACCACAGCCTCCACTTATGATGTAATCTAATTTAAAAGATATTCCACTTTTTTTTTGTGCAAATAAAACTCAGAAAAATGACTTTGGTATTCAGTTCACCTTATTCAATGCTTTGTAGAATGACTGCAACGAGAGCTGCAAGGAAATCAAACTTTTCTCACATCTGGAGAACAGTTTGAGGATTTTTCTTTCTGGTAAAAACTTTAAAATCTTTCTAAGTGGACACAGAGCATCTCTGAATATCTATATTCAGCTGCTACGGATTGTTTGAATGGTCAATATACTGATATAAACAGATACTCTATGCTCTGTAAAGAAATATACTTTGACCTAAACTTCAAATATATTTCTGACTATATTTTTAAGATGGTTTTCCAGCAAGACGTTGGACCTTCACACCTGTCTTTTTGCTGCTTCTAACAGTTTTTCTTACAGTATTAGGCATGAATAGAACCATTCGATTGGGGGAGTGGTGGCCTAGAGGTCAGGGTGGGGGTCGGCAACCTGCGGCTCTTTAGAGTCCCTCTTGCAGCTCCCTGGAGCTTTTTCAAAAATGTATGAAAATCAATATTTTTTTTTTCATTGTTTTAATATGGTGTGCAGGAGGTCAAAGAAAAAAGAATTGTTTTCCAATGCTGTAAACATTTTTATAATAAATAAATTTAAACAATAGTTTGCGTCATAGCCATAGAGATCAGTGGTCATAACTTGCAACCAGCGTGGCGCGGAGCCAGGCAAACAAAGCTGCAGGTGTGTCTCGGACCATGGATCCCAAAGGGAAAAAAAAGGAAGACAATTAATGAGACAAGAGGATTCAAAGAATGGAGCTAATCATTTGCTTTCATTATCAATGCGGAAGGATTGCCTGCATTTTTACTTTGTAATGAGAGGTTTTTAAAAAATAAAATTTTGGAAAAGCATTTCCAGGGAAGGCTGCTAAATATGCTGCCGACCACCAAGTTGAGAGTGAGAGAGAACGGGCAATTGCAGAAATTCTGGATAAATTGGAGGAGAGCAAAGCTAGATTTAAGAAGTGGATTGCATCTTCAAACTCCACTACTGCTGCTAGTTTGGTTGCAAGGATGGAAAACAATCCACAGATCAAACAGGTAGTGCTCTGATGCAGAGATGGGAACTTTCTTCCATCTTTTCTCCAAATCCTAAAAATATAAATCAAACCAAGGAACAATGGTGACGGAGGATGTGGGACTTCAGGGTTAGAGAGCTCTGCTCTGATGGATGTCAGTTCCTGCTTGGTTCCTCATGACTCAACTCCTCCCAACCGAAACACATACACCATAGAAAGATTGCTTTATGTGTTTCTGTAATTTCATCAATGCAACAAAACCTAATACATACAAACCACGCGATGAAGCAACAAGCAGGGAACTCCCCACAGTGAGATCGTTCACTTTTATATTTTTGTGGCTCCAGACAGATTTATTTTTTGTTTTGTTTTTATTCAATATGGCTCTTTGAGCAGTTTGGGTTGCCGACCCCTGGGTTAGGGCATAGAGCTTGGAATCCTGAGGTTCCTGGGGCAGCACACTGCTCCCCAAGGGAATGGGTAAAATGCAGAGGTACATTTCTGGAATGTGAGATCAATAAAGTTCAATTATTATTATTATTCCAAAAGGTCAAATAACCAAAAGGTTATTCCAAAGGTTCAAATTGCTCTGCATAAGAGAGAGGCAAAGGTAAAAAAAAAAAACAGATTCAAAATAATAAATTAACAACTTATCTGTAAAAAAAAAAAAAAAAAAAAAAAAAAAAAAAAATTAAAGTTTGAATACAGAACTGGGCTTTATTTGACTCCTTGCATGACATTCTACTGACCAGGTGCAAAAATAATACTGAATTTTATTTAATCAAATTACTTGATGCATATGCATGCCACACATTTCAGATTTATATTGGAGAAATAAATGAAAATCATCTATTTTCTTCCAATAAAGCTTCAGTTTGTGTTGGAGGTATGATGTAATTCAGTTAGAATAGGTTTGGGGATGTGGAAAGGTTTTAGGTGCATTTAAGCTTTTGAATGCTGTCCCCTCTCCTCCTTTTTCTGAACAATAAAATGTAGACTAGTTTGCAGCCTCCAAAATGATTCTTCAAAAATACTTCTCATGAGTTAGCAGCTATAAAAGTCATTCATAAACGTTTTGTTTATAGCAGGAAATTCAACAGGATAACTTCCACCGATATAAACAAATAGTTTTAACACTTTCCTTTCAGCTTACTCAATTAAAGTTTAAAGGTCAAATAAAGACAGAAAAACAACTTTAAAGAAAATATGTGGACAAGAATCAATACAAGTTTCACCAAAATAAAGTACAGTTCAGAGTGACTGTCATGTTATTTATTCAAACTCAACCTTAGCGCCGAGGAAGTGACAGAAACAAGCGGTACCTGTTGGAAGTGTGCGTCTTCTCTCATGCCCCCCGAGTTTCTGACGGGTTTCCTAAAACCGCATTTTTAATGTGTAGTTTCAACTTCACTCCAACAGCGACTAAATAAGTCCACATTTCGGTTAGCAAACAAAACTGTCAAAACAATGGCGGAGCCAAGTACGGCAAGCGGAAGGTCCACACGTGCTTTGCGATGACGTTGTGTTTTGGTTGTTGTTTCATTTCGTCATGCCAGGAAGGCGTACTATCAAAATAAAAGTAGCAAATGTGCTTTGAACTTTTCTGGAACGAAACCTGTTACCATTCTACAGAAGAGGATTTGGGCCACTGGAAAAATAATATAAAGTTAACTGATTTTTAAATTTGATTTCAGTTTGATATAGGAAGAAAGTCAGGATTTTGACTTTTTTCACTGAATTCTGACTTTTTTTCTCCGAATTCTGACTTTTTTCACTGAATTCTGACTTTATTCTCATAATTCAGACTTGTTTTCTCATAATTCTGACTTATTTCTCATAATTCTGACTTTAATCTCAGAATTCTGACTTTTTTCTCAGAATTCTAACTTTTTTCCCATATTAAACTGAAATAAAATTTAAAAATCAATTAACTTTTTTCCCAAGTGGCCCTAATCCTCCTCCCAGTGGCGGCCGGCCCATAGGGGGCGCTGGGGCACTGCCCTCCCTGATAAGAAGAGAGAAACGTAAAATATATTTTTAGAAATTAACTCACAAATGTCAGTTTTACTCTCTAGACTGTGTACCTATAAGCAAAACAAATTATATAAACTACATTTCCCTATCTACTGTCATTCATTTGTGGATTTCCACAGACAGACTCCTACCGTCTCTGTTCTGGGGGCGCTGATCAGACTGACCCACATTTGCAGAGAATCTGTCAATCATGTACTATTGCTAGGTGAATTTAATGGCCAATCAGCGTCTCGGAACTTTATGGTATTGGGGCGCTGAAAATACTGCGCTTTAACAGGCTTCTGAACCCAAGCGCAGGTGCAGACAGTTAGAGGGAAGATGGCGAATGTAACGACCGAGATGCAGCTTCCACCAAATTCGGTGAGATCCTTATTTATCTACCCGTTTGCCAGAAGAACATCCCTGCTGTAGGATATGAACATTTCATGTCATGGTTATTGTGGGGTGTACGTGTTTATGCTACGGGGACTTGTCATCTTCAGTCTGGCTGCGTCTTTGCTGGGTTCAAACCCAGTTTGGTGTAATTGAATAAGTCAATGAATCTGTGTAAAACAATTAAGTTGTAAAAATTATTTGTTTTTGTACATCAATTCTTTGTGGAGGTAATATATGGACAAAACTGATTTATGAGAAGAAATCAGAAATAAGAGAGCCTGATGTGAGGGGCTTAAACTATTTAATGAGGGCTGTGGGAAGAAAAGCGGCAATTTTTGTTTTCTGTTTCTTTGTTACATTGCTGGTAACTGGAGGGAGGCTGAGGCCCAGAGTATCTTGTACATGTTTAGTTTCTTTTGCACCCTGTTTTGAGTTTTTGAGCTCAATAAATCACCAACACCGGTAACCCGACTGAGACTGGATTCTTGGAGGCCAAAGAACCCCGTCACAGTGACCCAAATCATCACTGTTACTGTTATTATATAGTAAATTAAATCATTACTGTTAAATTGTATGTATTGTCCAATTGTTTATTGGAATTCTTATTCCGGATTAGTTGGAGACATACACTAGGCTATATCAGCCCCACCAAAAATATTTTTCACCAGCCGCCACTGCCTCCTCCATACCATTCAGTTCTGTTTATTTAAATTATTATGGACTTTTAGTACAATCAAAAGTGCAATAGACAATATCAAAAATTTCAAGCATGAAATTAGTACATTTGAAGCACATTTCACCTCTAACAAAAAGCACATAATAATAATTTAAATACAAATGTATTATGCTACAATACAAAAAAATAAATCTAAAAACACATATCTTACAAGTCATAACATTCATATCATTATATATATATATATATATATATATATATATATATATATATATATATATATGTTTTTTTCCTAAATAGATATGGGGAAACAATTTAGCACGATTTGTATACATTATGTAACATAAGAAAATTTAATTCTTAAAACATTGATTTTTTATATCTATTTTAGTCAGTTGTAATTTTTGTTTTGGAATGCACAGATACAGCCCTATATAAACACATTTATGGTGAAAATGAATGTAATGTATGGAAAGAACTAAACAATGTAAGGAGATGGATACATAATTGTTTTTAAGAAACACTTATATCTGTCAAAAGTAAACTATCTTAATAGTTTCTAATTCTATGAAAATTTCTTTAATGTTCTAGGAGACAATTTTAGGATTTCTTGAATGTTCTAGGCAGGTTTGCCTTGCTAAACCCTTCTCCATCTTTTATGTACATATATAAAGAAGTGGTTTCTGCAACAGGGCTCCCTTAGGAATAACATTCCAGCAAGTTTGTTTAATAAGTAATGTAAAATGTTTCCTCTGTGTTTTCTGTGTTTAGTTTATTTTTACTTTAGTTTTGTTTTTGTTGTCTGTGCAAATGATTGGGCTTTAAAAGGCTTTAAAAAAATCTTAACTTTGTATTCGTTATAGCAGTATTGGAAAAACAGGTTTGAAATAAACACTTGTTCTGATAAAAATCCTATATATAAAGATACAAATCAATAAATAATAGTTGTTTACCTTGTAATAATTTTAGTCTTTGATAGAGTTATAGTTAATATACAGTAATATACTGTAATTGCATTTATACTTACAGACTGTAATTATTGATTTTGTATATTTTATATACATTTCTATGCCTCTTCAAAGTGGATAATGAGGCTTTAAATTGCTAAATCCAGGCCAGGTCACTTAAACAAAACTACAAAGCAATTCTATATTAATAAAGTGTAATGATTTACAATACGGAGTAATAATTAAAGCAAGATAATAACAGGACAACAGCACTTTTTGATCAATTTAGTCTGTCATACCTATTGCTTGAATAGACTTGACCTGGAATACCTCCCCCTAACACACATACACACACATATATTAAAGAAGTTGTGAAAAATGTCCAAGCATAACGAGTCATTTTCAGATAAATATAGAAAACAATGCCATTCTGCCATTTTTCAAAGCAAGGAGCAGTAGCTGATTTTCAGTCCCAGGTCTACTACAATCAGAAGGAGCATGAAAGTCCACTAGAGCCAGATGTGAAGCAAAACAGAAAATTACAGCAACCAGTGACATAAATTACTGTCAAACTTATAATCTGTGTAATTTATGTAGTTCTTCAGTTTTAGGGCCGAAGCACAAAAGGGAACTCGCAGAACTGCTGTGTGCTTTACGTCTGTCAAAAGTCTGTAAAATAGAACAGATTAATTTACAAAGTCTGGTTTTAGAAAAATCTAGCTGATAGACAACAACATGATTTTAGAGGTAAGAAGTCTTATGCTGTGTTCCCTAAAACAAAATTATGAAGGTGCAAGTATGTGAAGACATGGGACGAGTCAAAAATTTAACCAGAGTTGAATGAAGAAAACAAAATATAGAGCTTTTTAATGACACTATTTGAATGAATAAAGACATTATGAATCCTTCATGGTTAAAGTAATGTGATGTGGAAAAATTGGAGCATATGGGGAAAAAAAGGACCTGAATATCCTGTTTCAGAACATTGAAAGAATTAAATTTGGCAAATCATCTTTCAGACTTCAGGAAGGTGAAGTCAGAGTGCAACAGCTCTAGTGGAATACAAAATGTTCAGCAACTGATGACTGTTGGAAAAAGGGGACCTTTTTCATCAGGATGAATGGATGCAGCTACTTGTTTCATACAGCTCGACATTACAGTCGCAATTGTTTTGGTCACTGTTTAGCAGGCCTTAAGAGTGATATGATGCTTCACTGTAGAAACCTTGCTTTTTTCAGGTGAAGACAAAATGGGCATTTTATATTATCAGGAATTATTCACAGTTCGCAAGAAGAAATGGGGCAATAACATCTAAATGCCTTTTATTTTCCAAACCTGTCTGGGCCATAAGTTATACCACAAGAATGGGGCCTTTTTATAGGTACGGTAACAGAAATATGAATTTTTCTATAAAAAGATTATCATAAAGTGTGTCCCATTATTAATATCCCACCATTTAGTTGTGTTTAACCCTTTAGAAACTTTGTTTTTGTCCCTTGCCTCCTCTCTGTGCTACAAAATGATATGTAACATGTTTTGTCAGCTTACTGTAAACAAATCTATCTTGCTTGATATGTTTGTATTTGAGTGTGCTTTCTGGTAATCACTGTTTTCTCTGTAGCTCATTTCTGCTTCTGTAGTGTGAATAGACATAAATACCAACCACACCTCCCTGCAGCATATGTGCTTGACTTGAAAGGGAAAATCTAGTGAAGCGCAAATACTGATCTAAGAGTCCTATTAATGCTTAATGATCTAATAATATTCCCAAGAGAGTGGCAGTCCCAGTTAGCATGTCACTCTCAGCTGGAGAAATATGTTGGTTCCCATTATTTTTGCCTCACTAGACCCCTACTGCTCAGCTTCATCTGCATTAAGGTTTTTAATCTTGATTAGTTTATTTATTGTGGCACAGTTACTATTTTGATCAGATGATGTGGGCATTATAGTCTTGAATATCACCACAATAGGGGATTTTATTGATACTTTAGAATTATTTATTACAGGGCAGGTTATCAAAGCATTTTGAGTTTTCTCATAACTATACATAGCAAAAGGTTCCTTAAAGAAGACTTTTTGCAAAATTAATCCAAGTGAAACAAAAACTTTCCCACTTGAAGAGTTCTGGATAGAGCATTTTGACAGAAGAAAACATTTTTTTTAATCTTAAATGCAAAATGTTTAAATTTCGTTTTACAATTTTGCTATAATTGCTGCTCAAGTTGGGTTGCTAGGCATGTTTTAAAGCCGGGTATCACTGATCCTCTGAGTAATTGGAGGGGCTACCATCACTAAACTGTGAGCTGGAGATGTCAGTTTTAATCTAAACTTCATGCGCAATAAACATATTTTTATTCCATCATTTAATTTCTATTTTTCTTTTAGATATTGCCATTTTGAAATCTCTCTAAATGCTATAATGCTTAATATGATTAATATGATGAAATGCTCTGTGAATGAATAAAACAGAAGAGCAAG